GGGCACGTTGCACTCTGGCAGCTGGGAGTACCTGGGAGTGTGTTACTGGAATTTTACTTCCATCCTGTGCTGTAGCTTGTGATGAGGGCATGTTCTGCCTTTGCTGCCTCCCACTTCTCCTGCCCACCTCTATGGCCACTCCTGGAAATAAGTGGGCCATTCAGCTTCTCTAACCTTCCTTCATTTCCCAGTCTGAGGTGCACATTTGTGCAGTTAGCTCATACTCCTGGAAAGGTTTGAGGAGAATAAGCAACATCTTTTGTCACTGAGACTCTTCTCAGTTGACAGCTGATGCAATATGTCCCCCTGCAAAACCACTGCAGTATTTTGAAAACAATTTTGAAAAGGTGAGAACTAAGTATTTTTATGTGGTATTTCTGTGTGAGACTTTTTGGAAGAGTAGCAGATACTTCCTGGTCAGTCTTCTTTCCCCGTATTTTGTGCATCATTTACTGAGGGTATGGCTACTTCTACTGGCAAGTTTTATAACATGGGCTACTGAGTCACTCAGCAAAATCACGTTCTGTGTTAGTTTCTGCAGCTAAGCCAATAATTTGGGTAGAAAAATAGGTTCTATTGTCTTGTCTCAGTACCAAGGTGCCAAATGATGGGAGATGCTGGCCTGTCCCTGACAAGCAATTACTCCTGCCAGATATCCTCCTTGTTTAATATTTGCACTCTACTTTTTCTGCCACTGACTTCCAGCCATCAGACCTCAGTTTGCTTTTCTCAGCTAGATTAAAGAGCCTTGTTACTCTCTTTTGACTTTTCCATGCACAGCTTCTTACAGACCACCAAGTTGTCTTTTAATCTTGCTTTGAAAAAAACTAAATAGAATTGAACTTCTTTCAATGTTTGTGCTATTGAGGGTATTCATGAAGGATGATCTGACTTTTAAGAGGAACGTATGTGTGTAGCAGATATCCATGGTGATGGGCACCTATGTAAACAGCCAGGCTGACAGCTCCAGTAAACATTCTCTTAAAGAGCTGTGGCAGGTCCATCCATCACACTACCTATATACACAGTACTGTCAAATATGTAAAGTAAACAAACAGGGGGCAAAAAAGAGGTGATGAAAGAAATAATGCTTTCCTTTAATCCCTTTTTGTTTTAAGACCCTCTTGGGTTTCTTATCATGATAGTAAATACATGACTTTTAGATATTTTTTGGATGGACCACATCATTTGAAGTGGTCTAGTGACAGATACACAGCAAATCAGTGGGAGAGGAAACAGGGAAGTCCAGTTTGCTGATTCTTCATCCACTTCAATAGTTTTTTTGTTTTGTTTTGTTTTGTTTTATTTTTTTTTTAACCTTCGTCCTTCATAATGCTGTGTCTCATTGTGTCCAATTGCAAGAGCCATACAGAAAACATTATCCCATTATTTTCTCAGGGAAAGAGGGGAAACAAGCCTTAAGGAGAAACAAGCACACAACCTTCGCATTGCTGGCACATTGCCGAGCCTAAGGGCTGCACTTAATTTACATATAAATGTGCTGAGGATTTTAATCAGCAACTAATGCGCTCTGTTGTTATTTTTCACTTACAGTGTTTGTAATGCATGTGGTGTTTGGCAAATTGCGTGGGGCACATGTACTTGGAGGAATGCAGTGGCAAGCATATCAGTGGCAGTGCTTTTTGGACTGTTGGCTGGCTTTATTTCTGAGGCTGCCCTGGGCCTCAGGTAGTGCTGGCTCCAGGCCTTCAGGGATAACTGCAAAATCCAGCCAAGGGTGACATAAAGAGCTGGCTCACAGATGTGTGGTTGGATTTCAGCTGTCTCATGTAAAAACGCAGTAGTGCCTCCACAGTGTAGCATCCCAGTGGATAAGAACATCTGTTTTATCAGTCTTGTTCAGAAATGTGTCTGCAAAATCTTAGAACTGTTTGGGTTTTAGTCCCTTTGAAATTTTCATTATTTCTGCTGGTGTTTCTTCTTGATTTGTTTGGTTCAGGCATCATTACATTGTTCACGTTTCTCTTTTAATTGTCAAGCAGCTGGAAAGAGTACACCACAAAATCCATCCAAGGAAAGCCTTTAGAGCTGCTCCCAAAGACCTCTCCTCCCTTCTGCTCTCCTGGTCTTGAAAACCAAATTCTGTCTTTCTGTAGTATCTGTTAATATCTAAGAGCTTTTAAGTAAGTGATGTGTTTTCTGAATTTATTCTGATTTTATCCAAGGATATTCCCCTCCTTTGTCTCAGCTAAAGTGAGTGAGAGCCTATCTGTGGACTGCCCAGGGAATATGTTGCAGCTCCTGATGTCAGATCTGTCAGCTTCTTTGCATTCATGCCATAATGGTGAAGAAGCAGTGTTGGTGACCAGATATCATCATTAGCCTCAGGAGTTAAGACCTCATATGAAGCTGGCATTTGACATCCCTCTGGAAGGATGTCATCCACACCTGTGTGGAGTGATCCTTTAAATATTTGGGCAGCTTGTGTATTCTTGTGGGTACTACCTTTATATCCATATAAAGAGAGGGGGCATTTTGTGCAGAACATTCAAGAGCATGGCAGAAGGTATTCCCAGGATGATGGAAGAATTTCCATGTGGAAAACCTGAAAGTGAACAAAAGCCTTCTTACTTATTAAGCTGCTGTGTGGTGTTGACAGGTGAAAGGACAAGACTTATTTAGGAAAAGGAATTATTTGTATCTGGGACCTTTTAATAAATCAAAAGTAAAAATAAGAACCAGTGTAGCAGACCTGTTGGTGGTAGCTAATGCTTGTTCAAAGAGCCTTCCCTTCTGAAATACAGAAATGAAAAGTAACTGTTGCCAGGAGTTATAAAATGAAGGAATGACTCAGATGATAGATTTATTATCACCTCAGTATCGGTGAAATTCAGCTTCATAAACATAGGTTAATCTGCTAAAACCTTCTGTGCTCTCACTGGGGGAGAACCCTATTTATTTCAAATAAAGATGTAAAATAATTATTCTTGTCTTCTGAATAAATCATAATTTCTAGTATCACTAATATTCATCTTTTTTTCCTCATTCTTTCCTATGTGGATTTATTTTATTTATTTATTTCTATGGGTTGTTATTGGCTCTTCTCATCCCTGCAGTGTAATTTCTCTTCTGGACTTGCAAGCTTTTTTCATCACAGTTCACCATATATTTCACCCATGTTTCTACAGAAACTCATTACATAGCACAGGCTTCTGCCAGCAGGAATATTTAGAATACACTTTTCCTTTGTCCTCCAGTGCTACCCTGCTCACCTGCAATGGGTGAATAATACATCTGAGCGAGAAGGACATGGATCTGAGGTTACTACAAAACGACCTGTGCCTGTACATGACCAGAATCAGTGCTGCTCCTTTCCCCTTTCTCTCTTACATGGCTGATCAAATGTTAGGAGTATACTTGTCAGTTCAAACTAGTATTAAAAGACATAACAGAAAAAAATTTTAAAAAATCCGAAACTTGAAAAAAATAATTGTAGTATTAAAAAAAAAAAGTATCTTATAAGACAAGAGCAAATACATGTGATACATGTGGCATCTCTGTGACTGTGTGGCTGGGTTCTCTGTTACCTTGAAAACTTTTAAGACTTCAAGCTGTCATGGAAGCAGTGCAATTGGATCCTTAAAAAAAACCCCAAAGCCAAAAAGACACACATATCTTTTATTAGTGCTGGCCTTACAGCAGCTCTGTCCTCAGTGATTAACTGATAATTTTGTTCTAAATAGCATCAAACACATCTGAGACTAAATTTAGGTTTCTTGTGTTCCTGTTTTGCCCTGCAATTTCTCTGTCATTTTCTATCAACTAATGATTTGATGGTTTGCAAGCTGTCCTTTTGAGTATTTCTTAAGCTTGAGATCCACTGCATTAGTGTGTCTCTCGAGATTTAACAGTGCTATATTAGGAGATGAAAATGTTCTTGATACATGTGCCATAGAAGTGGTGAGGAAGTGCATTTGCTTATTTTGATGCTGGTGTGATTTTGTGTGTGGTGCTGGTGTATTTGGTCCTGCGTGCACTCATGGTCTTAAGCCAGTGAAGTTTAAGTGAAGCTTCACTTAAGCCAGTGAAGGTTTGGACTGTGCCAGTACAAGCAAGTCTTAGAGTGGTAGAGTTTCTGCTTTATCATAGAATCACAGTATGTTTTGGTTTAGAAGGGACCTGAAAGGTCATCTGGTTCCAACCAGATGCAAACCAGATGTTCTTGAGGAGGATGGCTTTCTAAAGCTCTTCAGGGAGAAATGAGATGGGTGGAAGCTCTTCATGGCAGGACTGTTCTGGCACAGGGCTGGTACTTTTATCCCTTTCTGTGGCTCTGAAATACACAGACAGGCTTTCTCTTTTGTTTCTTAGGACAAGGTGGAAAACCAACTGATGTTTTCTTACACCAGTAGGTAAAGTGGCCAAGCCTTTCTCTGTGATAAAAGAGGATATATTCGTTCTCTAAGGGCTACTGTATGAGCTTTTGATTGCTTGTTATCCAGGATTACACCGTGCAATGAGTGAGCTCAATTTTAAATTTACGGTCTATTTTCTGAACTTGGATGGATTCATTTTAAATTGCCTCCTAGGTTTTCTTCTTTAGCAAGGACACAGGCAGGAACCAGAAAAGAAAAGCCATTTCTTTTGTGTAATTCATTGTCAGTGGTTGTATCCCTCCCTACCAAGGTTTATACAGGTTTGCATCACAAAGCAGAAAATGATGGTGTTTCTTCTGTTACTCTGCCAGCTGCAGTTCTAGCAAAGAAATGGCTGTGGCATTAGGGCATTTATGAAGAGCCATCCTTTTACCTTCCCTCCCACTCAATTTATTGGGACAAAGGATTGAGATATTGAGCTGAGTTCACAAAACAATTCCTGAACTCAGGCTTCTGTTTTCATTTGTTGCACAACTTGAATCTTTCTATGGGTGGAGCCTTTGTTACATGCAGAACACATTTGTGTAGTACAGCCAAATGAAAATAGATGTGATGTTTTATTGATCCTATTCATGACATCCTCTGCTTGCTGTTTTTCTGCAGGGGTTATCTACACAGCAGATATTCTTGACCGGGAGACAACCAAATCCTACTGGTTGACGGTGTATGCGACTGATCATGGCGTTGTCCCACTCTACACTACCATCGAAGTCTACATTGAAGTGGAGGACATGAATGACAATGCCCCTCTCACCTCTGAGCCTATCTATTACCCAGTTGTCATGGAGAACTCCCCAAAGGATGTATCTGTCATTCAGATCCAAGCCCAGGACCCTGACTCCAGCACTAATGAAAAACTGACTTACCGGATTACAAGTGGAAATCCCCAGAACTTCTTTGTAATCAATCCCAAAACAGGTAACAAAACCCAGTTGCCTCGGGGCAAGTGGGAGAATGCAACTTACATATTTATCAGCTTTCACCCCTTCGGGATGCACTGGTTTGATTTCCAAACCTCTGTTTTCTGGTTGCTTATGTGACTAAAGCATCTTGTATGTGTCTGAAGCGCTCTGCTTTGCATCGGTGTGCGAAGGCACCGGCAGATGATGCGCTGCAGATGTGCTGCTGCAGCAATCACTCTGCCCTGGGTCACTGAATTGCTGCTGGCTGTTGCCTCTTCCCTGCGTCTACAGGGATGAGACTTTGCTGCACTGAGTCTGCAGAGGAGTGCTAGGAAGCAGATTCAAGCTGTTGCAGGTTACAGAGCACCGTTTCACTCTTTATAAGCTGGTGTAGCACCCCTGAAGTGAGTGACATGATGTCTGTCCAGCATATGTAATAAGGCTCCACATTAAAGTAGATGGATTTAATTCTGCAGCTTGCTTTACAAAAAAGTTTAGATGACCTAAACGTCCCCCTGGCCCTTAAGAAAAAATCCATGTGTTTGCATTGATTTATAACAGCTGGGGATGTAGCCTGTGGGTGCAGTGTGACAGAGATGGTGATTGTTTGTAGTTAAAATACCATTGTTAGCTGGCAGTGGAGCATGGCACACATGCAGAGCAGCTCTGCACATGTCTCTACCCTAGGTGCCTTTGCTGAATGAGGCTGATAAAGAAATTGCCCCAGGAGTACCCAGCTTTGCTCACTCATTGGGCTTGTGGGGACCCTCCACCATGCTCTGGAGCTGGAGAGTTGAGGGGATTTTTCAGAGCAGTGTGCCTATCTTTAGGGAGGTAGTTCAGAGAATTCACACAATGCTCCTGCTTGTTTACATTCTCCTAGTTTAGTTCTGGGGTTTTGATTTATTTTTTTTTTAAGTTTATTTATATCTTCGTCAAATTTTTAAACAGCTAAAAACTAGAAGGAATAGATGTGGGAAGGAACATTTTTAATTTAATATATGGAAATGATGTTCACTAAATAGGTTTTCAACATTTGGTTGGGCAATCCTATTGCAATGTGTGGCATAAGAAGGGGTCAGGATCTTCTCAGGCATAAGCCCAGGTGAAGAATCATGGAGAATGTATAATCACTGTGTTCAATCTGCTGAGCCCTAAGGCACATATCTCACTTATTTTTAACACTTGGAATGGTCGAAGATGCTCTTCCATCTGCATCCCTTCTCCCCCTCCCCACCCCATAAATCCCATCTGGGCAAAGTAGCAGAATTAGGACTCACAGTGTTTAATGCTTGTGCTTCCCTTCCATCGGCTCCACCCGCAGAGCAATCTGCTCAGCACAGCCCTGCTTATCTGTCAGGGTGAGCCCATGACAAGGACAAGAGCTGGGCACCTGGCAGCGCTACGGCACCCTAGCCTGGTGGCACACCCTGTGGGCTGGCTCTTTGTCCCTCCGGAGAGCAAGCAGGATACTCTGCCCTAACAGTGAGATCTTATTCTCACTCTTAACACTAACAGTGGTTTGTCTTCATTTGCACTGTGGAAATTGCTGTCTGAGAACTTAAAGGCTTCAGGATGAGTAACTTTGCTGCTTGGGCAACTCCCAAAGGGCCCCCCTTACACTCAGTGAGCATCCTTGCTAGTGACTGGCTGTGATTTGTCATAGAGAGGATAAATCATCCCCTTCTATCCAATTCAGTGCCAAACCCAGAGCAGTGAGAACTGGGCAAAGTGGCCTCTTTGAGTTTGTTTTGAAAACGATGAGGCTGACAGAGAGTGTGTGTGCAGAGATCCCTTTTCCCCAAGGGGAGCGCCAGGCCTTGACATCAGGAGGCTTTCTCCTGATGGGATGCTGATGTCCGAGAAATAAAAGCATAATGGATTTTCCAAGAGAGTGCCCCTGGGGGTCTCTGACAAGGCTCCTTTCAGCTGTCTCCCTGCAGTGCACTAGTTTTCTCTAAGACAGTAATTTACACTCCAGTTGTTTTGTACAGGAGACTTCTGCACACACAGAAGAGGTTCGTAGCCTGTCAGCCCCGTACCCTTGCTGGGATTCAGCACAGCAGTAGCTCACGTAGAGCGTTGCACAGCAGCCCTAAATGCGACAGCATGCTGTATAATCAAGATGAAAAGGTTTAATGTGAACCCAAATATGCTGCGATTGCTGCATACGTGGGCTGAATGAGCATGCTCCTGCTGTCGGGGAAGAACAGCCATTTGAGAAAGGGGGTCTTTTATTTCCTGTGCCACTTTGGAAGTTTAGACACTGCCAGCAAACTGACATCTCATTCCTGTGAGTAATCCACTGTTGAGAGTGAACAGGAAGGCAGCATCCTGTATTTCTTACATCTTTGGGTGGGAAGCAGCAGAGGCGATGGGGAGTTTGCTGGAGGATAGGGATGTTCTCAGCTGTCTTTGGAGGTCAGCAGTGACCGTGTTTGCCTTCCCCTGAAGCTCACTTTCAGCTGCCTTGTAGCTCATGCAGGTCAGATGGGTTTCTGGAGGCACATGGACCTACTGGTGTCTGATCAAGCGAGGACACGGGGAGTCCAGGCTTTGTTCCTGGTTCTAATTCAGGATCATAATTGCAGCCAGTTCTTACACTTTTGATTGATTATCTGGATAGCAGAAGCAACAGCACTCCTTGTATGCCATATCTGTAGACAGAAGAAACCTCTTAATAGACAAGTTGTCACTTCCTACATTTTTATAGGCTGGCACAGCTCGCAGTGGCTATTTTAGGCAAATTAATCACGTGCATTTGGATCTGTTTGAAGGCAGGCTTTATACTTTTTAGGATTATTACCTGCAGTTTGCTCTGTGGGTTTTAGAGAGACGAAGAGTTGCTGCTGCAGGAATGAAGAGCTGCTAAAAAACTGCTGATAGCAAGATTTGGGCACTGAAGTTACCCTGGAGAGTTCATGCTCTCACTGGGGGCTGACTCCGCTGCGGGGGCGCAAGTATGTGGTGGCAAGAGCTCTCCTCTTCAGGCTTGGGGTTTATATGGGTGCTCCAGGGAAGAGGACAGCAACATGAGCTGCCCACCTACGTGTGTCAGGATTGGAAAGGCAGTGTGGGCAACCTCCCATGAAGGCCTTTTTTTTTTCTCACCTTAATATTTTTACTAAAATACAGCCAAGCATCAGTTTGCGCCTTGGTATGCACTTTTATCTCATGAGCTGATATTCGTAGGTACAAGTACTAAGTGAATAATGAAGCACATGAGCACATGTGAAACCATAAATCATTCACACTGGAGAACAAGGCAGCCTTGTTCTGCTAGCTGGTGGACACTGCAGCCTAAGTGTAGCGGGTCCAAGGGAGCTAGCTGGGATTTTCCTTTATAGTGGGCAAGAGGAAAATATTGCAAAGCACAGTTTTGTGAGGGGAGTAGGAAACATGCTTTTCAAAAAATTGAGGTGACTCTAGGGGTTACATGACTACAGGGAAAGGCATTCCCCTGGGCATTTGTTTCCCAGCTGTGTATACACACAGCAGCAAGGGAGTCATTCCTGGAGTTCAGCATCTTCAGCAGCTGCGAGTCAGCCTGAAACCCTGGTGTGGCTGCTGACAGAGCCAGCCCTTTTCCTCATAGCTTGACTTCTGTGCTTGGGAGGGCTTAGGGTTGCTTTGGCAGAGCACAGGGTCACAGGGCTGTGCTCCTTTGTGGGTGGTGTGAGATGGGGAGAACGGCAGGGCTGCTGCCGGAGCAGCTGGGCTGACCAGCTCCCAGGAGTGCCACGCTCAGCCCGAGCCGAGTCGGTTACTCTGGGGTGAGAGGCACATAAATAAAACAGAAGATGGAGTTAATAAAAAAATTTGATTGATCAGAGCTGTAAATTCTTATTTTTATTTCATGTATATGGGTGTTAATTTCACAGCACAGGGGTAATTTACTGCATTGATTTATTACGTTTCTGTGCTCTGGAAAAAAAAAAAAAAATTTGAACCATTACATTATTTTGTTTAGTGTTAACATCTTTAGAACAAACCAAGTAAGCTTCTCTGCAGTCGTATGTAGATTACTTAAGATATTCTTTAACACACCAGCAGACAAAATTTCACTCTTGTGCACAATGTTATTAATTAATTTACTCTAAAATTATGCTTGTGTGTCTGGAAAATCTGCTTACACCTTGCTTAGACTTTTGCTGACACCATTTAAACAGAGGCAGACCCCTGGCACCCCTGAAATTCTATTTGCTGCAGTGGTTAAGGCAGGATGCACTAGTAGGTTTAGAAATAGTGCATGTAGGTCAACACATCTTTGCCAAGCAGCAATACTCTGCCTCTGGAAGTTGCCTCTGAACTGTCACATAAGCACCTAGATTTGGAAAGACTGGATATTTTCATGCTGAAGTAGTATTAATATTTATATAAGCTAATTCAGGGTTAGTGAGTGTCAGAATTTAATTGGTATGAATGCTACTCTTCTCAGTAGGCTGGGCTTTTCTTGCTTTTGCACTCACAAAGCCAGCTGGCATAGAATCCTGCTGGGTCTGAAAGCCACATTTGCTCTGCCATACTAAAATAGTGCTTCACCCTCCTGTCATACATCCTGATTTCTATAGCCACTTTTCTTTGGCTTGTCCCGAGAAATCCCCACACATCTTTGCTCTCCAGACTTAGACAAATCCAGTGGTCTGCTGCTGCTCCACATCCTGATGGCTGCCAGCCATGCAGATGCTAGGTATCCAGTGCCTCTTTTCAGCCCATAAATCGTAGAATCGTGGAATGGTTTGGATTGGGAGTGACATTAAAGACCATGTAGTTCCAACACCACTGCCAGGGGTAGGAACATCTCCACTAGACCAGTTGCTCAGAAGCAATGCAGAGCCTGCCCACAAACATTTCCAGGAATGGAACAGGGATTATCCTTCTATCACACATAAATTATTACAGCTGCTGTTAGAGCAGACCTTGAGGAGGGGATTGCTCTGGGCAGCTCTAGAGGGTTTCCCAGTGGTTGTGGAGGGTTTCTAGGTTCCTCAACCTTCTCTTGTGGTCAAGGGACAC